GCTGGAGCAGGGCCTGTGTTAGGAAAGGGGAGCCGGGGCTGTGCGCCGGGGGGGCTGCCTGAATGAGGAGAACGGAGGTGCTGGGCTTGTGGCTCTTACCGCGAGTGCAGCGTGGCAGCTGAAGGAGCTGATGTGATTCTTTGCCGTTTATGAAATACCAGCAGAAGCAGTATTACCTTTAAATGCTCGTTCAGAAAGACAAACAGAGAGGTTTTACTGTTGCTACGAGGATATGTTGCAGTTTGGCAAATAACGCTTTGCCATAGGAGATGTATTTTCAGTCTTCTCAAAGGTAGCTTATTTCTCTGTAACCAGAAGCATGTCTCTGGGGAGAGGACTTCTGCATTGAAACATAAGTAAGATGTACTCCTGGTGGTGCAAGATTCATCTGTAAAGATCTCACACTTGAGAGTATGCACTGGCCATGTCGTTTGTATTCTTTATGACAAGAAAATCTTGATTTAATTGTAACATGTTGAGTTAGTCCAAATGTGCAGGGGGTGGTCTTTAGCCAGCCAGCAGCTTCCACTGACCAGTAAGAATTCTTGCACTTTTCCTGATGTTAGCACCCAGTATGTGCTGCCTAACATTGCTCTGAGACTCCATCACATTGTGATGACCAGGATTTAATCTGAACTCTATGTTTCTGAAATTGCTTTTGATGTTTTTCTTCATTTGGGACCTCACTCTTGCAAGGAGCGAAATAATGATAAAATAAAATGGATGTGCAATTTTTTTTTTTTTTTGTATTATGGTAATATTCCTTTCCTCTTTGCCTAGTTAAGTCATGAATGTAGTCTAAAGTCAGCAAGGTAAGAACAAAAAGCTTTTGGTCTGCTGTGTTGCCTATGTTAACTGCTCCTGCTTTCCAGGGAGAAATTATTGCAACTGAAGGAATGAGATGATGTTTTTGAAGGAGGTGAATGTAAGTAGCAATATGCTGCACAAATGTTGTGATTTTTTTCCTGGTCTTTAGTGGTAACTTAAGGTAGCACAAGGTGTTTACTGCAACACCAGACATAAAGTAAAACTGGCTGTTGGTAGGCTCTATTTCATTTTCTGCAGTCCCTTTTGTCCCATCTTGAAGAACGATCAGAAATTAGAGTACAAGCTGATGAGCTGAGTGTATGGGTGTATTGGTTAGAGTACACAGTAGCTTCTTTCAAAGCAGTTAAGTGGGCAGGAGTCCAGCTTCTATTTCCCCTTTACCAATGTCAGTTGATAAAGTCAATTCGATTAATTCTGAAATTGCCTTGCAAGGTAAAGGATATTGGCTAAACCTGGCAGGCTGCATTAGAAAATTTTCTGGAAAGATCAGTATATGGTATTTAAAGCTGGTTTGTGTGCAGGTATTACTTTTGGTTGGCAACAGTTCATTTAAATCAGTGTTATTTCTGACTTCAGAAAAATAATTTTGTACTTAAAAGAACAATAAGCAGTACAGCTGTGATTTTCCTTTAAGATTAAAAATTAGTTTATAAATTAAGCTATCTGTTTTCTTCATGTGCCTCTATCGGCAGCCTCTCTGCTTATTTCTAATACTGAAATTCAGATCTGAATACCTTTAAAAATAGCTGCACATGAGAGAGCTCAGAAACTTCTTGCCTGTCAAGGTTTGGTCTCAAAATAAATGATTACATATATTTAAAGATGTGAGAGAATACAAATGAGCACTTCTGAGATTTTTCAAATCTGATTTTCCTAAGGAAGATTAGATTTCATATTTCGGTATCTGAAGGGGTATCAGGAAGCATTTTCCTGTGATGGTCCTAAGCTCTATCATTAATGTTAGGCTGCTCAGGCATGCCTAAGCATGCTAAATGAGACAATCAAGGGAGGTGTGTGTTTTTAGAGCATTTAGTCACCGTCCTGTGATGGCTTTTTACATGGAGGGGTAAAATGACGCGTTTGTCTGTTTGCCACTAAGGATAATTTTTTTTTCCTAGCTGAATTTTAAATTGCGCTTTGGGAGGTGTTCCACAGCTAAGGCTTTTAATATTGGAATCTAAGGTTAAAGAAATGAGTTTTTAAAAAATAAACCACTAAAATCTTCCTCAGTCTTGTATTTCTAAGTTACTGAATTGCTAGCTGTAGGCTGTCTAATTTCAAGAGCAGTGTATGCCAAAGAGATTCTTCTAAGGTTGCCAATGTTATTATTACATATTGAGTTGTGAGCCCAGGCAATAAACCTTGACGTGCTTTGGCCAAGTGTGGTGAACACAAAGCACGTGATGGGAGTTTCTCCCACCTGTCATATTTCCTCTTCAACTAAGCTCTGTCTCTTTATAGGGGCTGCGTACCATTGTTTGACTGCTGCGGCTAGTAAAAATTCTCATGCGCTCACTGTGTAACCGTATGATCATCCCATGTTAGTCACAGATGAGCTTTAAGCAGGTGATTAGCTGATGTTTAACTGGTGATTTTTCAACTCCTAAATAGGTAGGTTTGAATAACTGGCATTCCTAGACTCGAGCTCTTTGTTATCATGAAGCTCATGACTCTCCACCCCACCAGAGCAGGCAGTCTGACTCACATGCTGTCCGCTTAGGTTGCAATTCTTGTGTTGCAGTTGGAACAAAACGATTAAATAGATCTGAAACCTCAAACATGAGGGTTTGGCATTGGTTACTATATGCTAAGGGGATTAAGCTCACTTAATTTGTATTAATTTCTGGAGTATAAGTCTGTGGCATGTAGGATTCAGCATTAACTGCTGCATCTGGTTTTTTTTTTTTTTATCCCTTTAGTTTTTACCCATTGTATTATGCAGTGCTCTCCATAAATGTGAAATTTAGTTTGTGCTTGGAATTTTGCTTTATCAGTTTTATTTTACAGATAGCATTCTGCTGAAGAGCAGTTGTATTATTAAGACTGAATATATTTTTCAAATCAGGTAGTTTGTTATTAGAACAGTCTGTGTTTAAGTAAGAGTAGTTAAGTTAGTCTTCTAGCCAGCTGCTCCCCCCTCCAAAACAAAACAAAACCCAACAAAGCCCTGTAACATTTGCTTCCTTAAATAATAATTTGCAGCGCTTCAGGAGTATGTTAATGCATAAGGTAATATTAAATAGTGGAATTATTTTACTCTTCTAAAGCTAAATTTCTTTAGTCTAAGGGAAAGACCACCTTGTATGAAGTCTGCGATAACCCTTTTAGAGAAAATGTGCAACCTGGTAGGTTCAGTGATTAAACATTTCTGTGGCTTTTGGATCAGTGGAGGGGTGACTCTTCCTCTGGCCACAAGGTTATTGCTTTCTTTGTGGTTTATATATTTTGTCAGTCCAGGTGGACTTTTGTTTCTGCAAATATACATCAAGTGGTACATTCTCCGATTAATTGGGGAAATTCTAAATAATGTAACATCACTGGTGCCTGTCTGTGTAAAATGTGAAACTCCCTCAGCTTAATTACAGGAGTGAATCAGTTCTGGTTTATGATTCCACTCTAGGATGACAAAAGCAGTATTAATAACCAGCTTGTTCAGTGCTATTTTTTTCACTGCAGGAAGTTATTTGTTGGTTGGTATTGTTTATGCAACAGTTTCGCTAATAATCATAGCAGTTCACTGAGAAGAGGTGAGGTGGAAGTCATTTGGTTTTGTTGAAGTGTTGTGGGTTGTAATAAGAGGAAGAATGATTTTACAGTAACTTGTTACAAGAGCAAACAGTTAATGGGACAGTGACTGAACAAAACCGGTAGTGTCTTGAGAAAATATATGTATATGTATGAATAAGAGTACATTTATAGATCACTGAGTTTATTTAGCTATTGTGAATTGTTAGGGAAATTAAGTTGCATTGGTAATTTGTCATGACTTAACTGAAGTATGTATAGAACAGTGTTTAATAGCCATACTTTGAACATGCCTGTGTGTCATAACGATATTCTTTGAGCATAGTATGTAGTAGAGGTCAAAAGAAGTTCTAAACATTCCTTTTCAGTGGCCAAACAGAACTAATTGCTTTTAGAATATAAGAAAACTTAACTTTGTTTTCTTATTTCAGTAAAAAATCCCAGAAGTGGGATGAAATGAACATCATAGCTACGTACCACCCAGCAGGCAAAGATTATGGCTTGATGAAAATAGATGAGCCAAGTACTCCTTATCACAGGTAGGCTTGCTAAACTGCTGCCCTAAATGATGCCAAGTGACATAGTAGTTTTACAGAAAAATTGACTTTATGCATGTTGTAGTATTTACTATAGCTGACTGCCTGATAGACTGTGCAGGCCTACTGGATATATGCAACATATTCAGATTTACAAAGCTTCCAAATAAAGGTTTGTAGCTATTGAGGAGAACTGTCAAAAAGGACAAAGTCAATTTTTAGAAGGTTTATGTCTAGCAGGCTTTAGGCTTTGAATGGAATAAATAAGTCTGACTTGTATTGATTTCATTTTTTTCAGTTAACATCTGTGTACTAGAATATAAAGTTGTCATTCATATCAATATATAAATTAGATTTGGAAAGTTTTTAAAGTATTGAAGGAGTCTTAATAGAGTGTTGTAAGGTTTTGACTGTTTTGTCAAGCAAATTTTAAGCAGCAAATTATTGATAAAGGCTACCTTCTTTGTTTGCCTTCCAAGCATGGTAGGAGAAGATGATGAGGATGCAGTGAGTGATTCAGAATCAAATGAGCCATTAAGAGCAGATGTGCTGAGTAAAAAGTAAGTATTGTCATAGAAAATTGACTGAATGTTAAGATGATTTACTCTTTCCTGGAGTGTTTTTTCTTTATGGAGAAGCATTGCTGGTTTCTCTAGAAGTTAAACTTTTGCTATTGTCAAATTAAGTAGTTTTCGGTGGTTGATAGTGCCACTGGTACTTTAAACCTCTTGCAGGTTGTTAGTACACATAAATATGGCAAAAATAATGAACAAAGCCATTTGTATGAGTGTTCTGAAACTTCATGTATTTTAAACAGTGAAAAATTTGCTGCTTCAGTGTTTTGTATTGCATATTTCAATGTAGACTGGCAGCTGCAGCTGAAGGTAAAGGACCCAAGATTATAGCAAAGCAAGAGGAAAGCAGTGAGGAGGAGGAAGAGGATGAAGAATTAACACCTGAAGAACGAGGTAGGCATAAGTTGTTTTCTTTGTTTTGGGTGGTTTTTTTTCCGTACTGTCGTGGTTTAGACCCAGCCAGCAACT